TGCCTTGAGCGAATTAAGATGGGGTACTATAATGTGACAATATCTCCGTATGGGCATTGGTTACTTCTGATCAATTTACCTAGTATCGAACGTAAAATGTTGATCCTTGGAATAGCTTTCTTAATAAGTTTGGTCATCATATCTTAAATACCTACAATAATAGAAAAGTTGGTAACTTAACTGTTATATTTACTAGATTAAGTTTATATTTCTTACTGGATAAGTAATTGGTTATCAGACTGAATTTAATATTAAGCTTCAATTGCAAATATAGTCAAACTTGTTGCCAAAGGACTCTTGCCAGGTGAGAAATTTATCAACGATTTTATGGGTTTAATTGCCAGCGAAACTCCAAAAGCGACTATTTCGCTAATAACAAGAGATTTATATTCTAACATTTGTAAAAACAATGGGGACCTCGTTAATACTTTCTTTTGCAGCGTGAATTCAAGAACTATATATAAATACTTTTAAAGGCAGATATGCAAAAGATTTCGATGTTTTTTGGAAATTCCTACTCTAATTTTTGCGACTATGGCGATTAAACAAAATTATAAGTCAAATTGCTTTATTTTGATAGAAATAGATATATGTCGAAAGTATTTCGAAAACTAGAAGAGTTAAAAAAATTAATAATAAGTATTTAAACATCTTTTAATGAAAATAGAAATTCCCAAAGAAAACCTTTACACGTGGTGTGTGAACCATCTTTTCGAAGATCTAAATTCGAAAAGGCTCAACTTGATACACACAATAGTTGTAATAGAAGAGTGATAAAGTTAGCCCAACATTTTTTTAAGACCTTTAGGAGAAGTTCTTTTTATGAAAAGATTTGTCTGATCCTAAAAATTATTTATCGTTTCTTTATCTCTTACAAGCTTTATGTATAAGATCTATTACCACACGGTGCAAGACAATTAATTTTCTGTGTTGTAAAAGAGGCCATTTTGTTAAGTGCAATGAAGCCGAAACCGCTAAAATTATAAAGAATTGATACGCATGCTATTCACCTTTTGCCTTGCACAGATCAGATTTCCACACTCGAAGCGGCACTTCGTTTAAAAGGCCGATATAACCGAACCTTAGCAGAAAAATTAGGATAATACAAATCGCAACGGGGGCATATTAAGTAATTAATGACAGACAACACATTGAAATTGAATAAGCGAACCAATTGTTTGAGCACTGAAAGATTCCATGGGTGAAATTATGTATTGTCGGTTAAACGGAAAACTTTGAGTATTAACGCAAAATATGCAAAGCGATTTTTTTAATAACAATTTCCCTTCGGCTATACGACAGAGGCTTATCAACGTAGAGTTGGACAAAAAAAAGGCCTAGTAATATGTTGAAATATAACCATAATCTTATTCGCCCGTGCGGCCTAGTAGAAAAAATATCTAGATTAGCAATTTAATGGGCGCAGGTCCAAACCTAAAGTGTGATAGACTTTTCGATAAAGCCAACAGCCTTGGATGCTAGTGCTTCAAGACTGTACTCTTCGAATTTATTTGTCCGGCTAAATTAATTGTAATAATTATAATAATAATAACAGCGAAACTTCTTCAATAAAAGAAATAAAAGTACACAAAAAAAAAAAACGAGGAAACTAAACTTTCGTGTAGGGTGCTTGAAATAATGTGTGTAATTGTAATATGAAACAAAGCAGGAACGCGAAGTAACCTGTATATATATATTTCTTGTTTTTATTTTATCTATTTGCTTAAGCATTACAGATTTTAGTTTTTAAATGCTAACTGCAAGTTTTGCTGACGTTGGTCGTAGTTCTACCAGTTTAACAATCATTAGTTGGGTTTGTGCTTCAAAGGAAGGTTGTAAAACGAAAAAAAAGAACATAACTTGTGTTCGCCGCTTGATCCTGTCATTTTTTTAATTTTACTTCAATTTAAATTTACTTAATTTTACTTATATTACTTAAAGGAGTTTTGTAAGTGGAGATGAAAGAGGGACTTCATAGGCAGTAGATCGACTTAGTGCCGAAAAATAAACTTGAAATCTTCTGAAAACTATCATACATCTAAATAAACAATTGTGTTGCAGACCTGAGCATATGGAATTACTCATTGTCATTATACAATAAGGGATAATAAAAAGAGATGAACGTAAAAGACTTAACTGAAAGAATGAATAACCTGCGAATTCAATGACATAAAGTTAGGCACCAACGAAATTGGTGTAATAAACAAATCTTACGGCGTATAGAGAGATTTGAGTGTGCCATATTTTACCTAGCAAGATCCGCAAGGATCTTCAATCTACATTCAGTATGTTGCGTATTAAGATCGAAGTAGAAACGCCTGTCTTTTCTCTTCAACTTACAATTCCACACATTATTTTATTTTATTACTCAGCCACATCTCTTATATACTCAAAGGTATATAGAGAAATAGATCTTTAGAAGAAAATTTTAAAAAGCAACCAAAAAGTGGTGACAAGTTGCCGAAAATTTTCTTATATACATTTTGGTGCAAAATCTCAATTGCAAAATACAAATATTTTTTGAATTTATTAACTATTCTCAATTCATTAAATGCTTTTAAATTCAGAAGACAATTTTTAAACTCATTAAACGTTTTTGCAATATGCATTCAAAAGTCGGTCTTTTTTCTATTTTTCCCTGTGCAAAAGCCTTTGCGTGAAGAGCAGCCTAATTGAGGAGATATCATTAATATGATCTCGTTGCTTCATTCTATGCAGCGCATACATTGAATGCAACTGCACAAAAACAACGTCGAATAAATGAACATTTAATCGCGAACATTTCCGGTGGAGTCATTTCCCCGTTCATTTTGCATCCTTTGGTATTTATTTAAAAAACTCTTTACTGGAAACAACACCATAAAATCGAAGAAGGTTTATGCGTAATGAATTGTGCTGCTCAATATGTGCTTATTGATTTGGATGTGTCCTTTCTATTACGTGGATCATGGGTTGAGGGTTTTGATGTCTAAGTTAAATCTAAATAAGTATAATATCAACATGTAAGTTGTGGCCACATCTATGTAAAAAAAAATTTATATAATTAATAATTTTAAAGATCACTGATTTGTAAAATACTAATAGCTGTATTAGTATTTTTAATACTAGTTTAATTTTTTCAATCAATTAATATTATTTTGTCGTCACATTAAAAACAAGACAAACAGTTAATATACGTTAACGATGAATGTCAAAAATACTATTTAAATAAATATTATTGTAAGAAAGAAAAGAAAACAAAAATGATGGAATATGGCTGAAGAATAGATACAGGGGCAATTCTCCGATCGATTAGTTAGAGTTTCGTCCGTCTAATATTCGGTAAGGGGCACGTACGTGCAAATTCTTTGGGGTAGCCATCCTAAGGATGTCCGTGAGCAAGGTCTAAAACCCCTCGCACATGGCACGTACATTTACCCCGTAGACCTCCCCATTCCTCTTCAAGTGGCACCGCGTGGTTGCCCTAAACTTTCCATAGACAACAGCTTTAAACTTTAGGACAATGACAGGACAACTAAGATATATGTATTTTATTTAAACGTTACATATTTCCTTAGTTGTTTTGCAGGAAATAGACGGGCGTACGCGAATTTCATCGTTTTCGCCACTAAAATTTGTGGACCGAAATCTCGCAAAGCACTTTGCAACTGCATTTTAATTCGAAGTTAACCATTTTTGTAGCTTTTTAGCTACATCTTTTCCAGATTAAACACAGAAAAAGGCAATGCCGTCAATGATATCCATCTCTTTAAACTTTGATATACACTGAACGACAGCTTGTAATTAATTGAGACTTTTACATCGTTCAGACATCAATTTCTAAGTTATCTAAATTTAAATTTCCGCGTCAGATGCTTTTTATGCGTCAACCAATTTAGTGAAAAAAATTTATTTGTACGCCTATTATATTTAATTAAACTTTTTTTCTTGGATTGAAGTGGTTTGGATCGGACCTTTCAACTATAACGCCGTTATATGCAAAAAAATTGTAATATTCATATTTTTCTCGGCGAAAGTCGCTAAGTAATGGTATTTCAAAATTGATGTGAAAGATTTCGTTCGGCTGGGGTAACTCTTTGAACCCCTTCTCATATAACCGCTCCTACGAAAATTATTTTATAATAATAAACTGACAAAGAAAGCAATCGCCGAATTTGGACCGCATAGGTCTGTTTTTTGGATACCATCGCATATTAGGATTCTCAGGAAATCTAAACTTTTTTATGCCAAAATCAACTAAGTGTTAATGTTTTATGATGAAAATTTATCTATAGTAGCAATGTAGCAAAAACATGAACGGTAAGAAATTTTAATCATCTAGATCTATTTTTGAGACCCAAAATATATACCGGTTATTATGAAAAGCACGTCCTTACATGAGGAGAACTTCTAGTTATTTTACGAGGGAAACTGAAAAATAATGAAGCTTTTTGGAAGTAAATTAAGTTAGATAAATTTGGATCGCTTCATACGATATTCGGGCTTCCATGAAAAGAATGCCTTTGCATGAAGTTAATGTGTAATTTTTGATGTGTTATTAACAAGACGAGGGCACAACTATGATAGATAAATTGGTGTACGGTATTTAAGTGTCGACCTTGCTCAGCTACAATGTTGTTACTAGTTTTGTTTTTGTGAAATGCTGCTGCTCTAAAGATTTAAATGGAAGAAATTATGGCGCAGCATTCTGACTTACGTTATGAAAATGCATTATATGCAATAGGATTGTTGGCAAAAGCAAGTAATTCAGATACAAAGTTATATTAATATGCGTAACATGCAGAACTCTGCACCAACTGCGCAACCACATCTAAACGCTTTATTCCTAATATTAATGTCATTGTTGTTACCGTGAAAGTTCAACTTGTTCTTACATGTTTGAAATATTTGGTAAGTTGAGGTCGTTGTTAAAATATTCATATATTAAATTTAAAAAAGCATATTTTATTGGCCATATTTAATGGAGACGACTAACACCGTTATCGGTTTTATTTTTACAGCTCTCCTTTTTCCTATCATCGTATGTGGCACCATTGACATTAATTTGTTTTCTATACATTGGCATGTTGGCGCGGTTATGGAAAAGCGCACCTGGTTGCAAACCTTCGGCTGAGTCGCGGTAAGCTTACGTCAACATTAGACATGCAATTGCAGCTATGGAGAAAAAACCATACGCGATCTTCTGTGACACTGGAGTGTTAAGCGTGAAGACAGACAATTAGGAAACAGTTTCCGGCTCTTATCACTTAATTATCACATCATTAAAGCATAAGCGTAGATGCTTGCATATTTTAGGATTTTAAGAAGTATAAAAAATATTGAGCCTTTAAAGTGTTAAAATGTGTAAGATAATAGGACGTCATTGCATGCGTATACACGCTGATATTTGATAACTCATTGACATAACGCATGATGTGTCAGCATATTAAGAGTTACTAACAATATCAAATTTGTGAGTGATGTTGCAAAATTGATTGGTATCCAATGACGAAATTTAACAATATCCGCACATATATATGGAGACCATGGAAACAACCAACCAGCCAAACGAATGGTGTTTTTATATTTGTGAAGTCACGTTCACTTCAATTCCACTTGTCTTGGTGGCTTGATTTCAACCTTTTGACTTTCCTACATTTAAAAGCTATAAACACTTGAAAGTTATAAAAAAATTAATAGTTATTTTTGACCCCATTTAGCGACTATTGACCATACCAGATCATCTCGAAAATTTTCAAACTATTCTTTGAACTTGAGCTTATTTACAGTGTTACCTGCAATGAATCAAGTAACCTGCTTGGGACGAGCCAATGAAATACATACGCGCAAATTTGCGTCCCAACATACAAAATACATGTTTTTCATAATTTGGAAGTCAAATTCTACTTTAGCATAAAACCAACGGATTTATTATGCAATACAATGAATGTTGCACTCTGTTCTAATTGCTGTCGATATCAGGCGCCAATTTGTTATTATTATTATTATACATAGTGTCTAGAAACAGCAAGTGAGAGGTACATGATACCAAACCTGGTATTTAAATTTGTAATTTTTTTATTACCGCAATTTCGTTCTTTTTCGATCTACGAAAATGCAATAATTTTTTATGAAACAGTTTTCTCACAGAGTTTGGCATTAAATATTCACTTTTAAATCGTCAGCCAAAAGATCCGCTCGTTAGTAGGATGTAAAAATTTTCATAAAAGGCTTCGTAAAGTTTACGTATTCTTAGCCAGTTAAATTCTGAATCGATTTACAGATGTCGCCAAAATAGGAACATAATACTGAAACTTAGCTCGTAAGTTCACTATTTTCCATTCAAATCAATACATGAAAATTGTGTTCCATTATGTTAACGGTGGACGATCAATTAAATCTTCCTACACTGATCTTTTAGGTGGTCCCAGTTCTTTTTGTTTTTATACATATCACCGAAGGATAAAGAGTGTATTCATTATGTCGAAATGTTTTTAACGGCTAGAAGAAAGCATCAGATGCTTCATAAAATGTATATATTCTTGATCATCAACAAATTCTAAATCGATTTAAGCATGTCCGTCTGCGTGTAGGTCTGTCCGTTTATTCAAATCTGTTGTAAAATGTAGCTACCGACTTCAAATTTGGCAGAAACATTGGAATTTCTTGTGCGCAGGTCGGTATTGAAAATGGACCAAATCGGCCGAAGTACACGCCTGCAATGCTCCTATTTTTCAAAAGGAATAAAAAATGTGGCTTTTTGTTCATTGCTCATAAACTATAGAAGATAAATGTACAAAAATTTGAATCTATGGGCGATGCTGTAGCATTCGTGTACAAAAATGGAAAAAATTTACCTTGCATATCCAGTATTATAGTGTATCAAAGTTGAATTTGCGTTCAATATCTTCCTAAGGGGCAGAAACAAGCTTCGAAAGTATATATATTCTTGGCAGATTTCAAATTCGAAATTCAACTAAGCAAGCCCGTTCGTTTATTTGTCCATCTGTCCGTCTGTGCAGCTGGCTAGTATTTGTGGTAAACATTCCCCCGTTAGTGAAAATGATGTTATCGCCTTCAAGTTTGCAAAACAGTTTGGAGGTAACTTAAACTTTCCCAAGGACGAGCCTACAACGCTTTCACGTTTATGTAAAAAAACTTTTAATTTCGAAAATACAGAAAATCAGCCGCGCCCACTGCCTATTATGGAACGTTGAAATTTATCTTTTACTTTTTTTGTTCCTTTTAGATGATGGGTAAAGAAGATTCGGTCGCGACCGAACGATTATTTTCTTACCAGCTTTTTTTTTCATTTTAATACCTCTTAGATAACGTAATATACGAATTTTTTTTTTAACGTGGCCGCGTCTGCTGGCAGTAAAATGCTACTTATTTTAAAGATTGCCGTGTTTGTCATGGACAAGTTTTGTAACATAGCCGTTATTTCTTTAATGTTTGGCTAAATTTTATAGGTTGATCTTTCCTTGATCCGTTCAAGTATGGATGCATCTCGCAATCTACCGTGTAATGTATCGCGTCCATTTTTCGTTATTTGTACTGTTCATTTAGCAGTATGTTCTTTCTAGTTAAAGAGAAAAATAATGCTTCGCGCAAACGGTGCTTTTTGGCTTAGAACTCGGCAGATGAAAGTTCCAAGAAACTATAATATGTAACGTACGCGCCAATGGGATAACGTTGACTTTAGCGAGAGAAATCAAAGTTTTATATTGCATTCTATATTGTACATCCACATATTTTATATACAATATGTTTAAGGGTTGGTTCAGTTTGGAAATAAACTTTCTTTTCTCTCTCCTCTTTAAGCGCTTTAAAAACGAACAACCCTTTGATGTTAGTTTTAATTAATTGTTTACAATCAATAATAAGTTTACTTTTTTTAAAAATTATCGATTTCGCTGAAATTTAAGGATTTTACAATCTTAACAATAAGACGGAAGATGGAACTGTGAATTTTAGATACTTAGCGCAACTCAAATGAAAATTTCCCAAGCTACTTGTATCGTGTCCAATAAAGTAAAACTGACTGATCTCTAAGTGGAATAATAAAACGGAAAGCATACTACTCTAAAGCAGCTGAACTTTTCTGAGATTTGTCAAAAAACGTTGTAGCAGGCGTTTTTGGAATTTATCACCATTTTTACTTTCAAATTGGTAAAGCAAAAAATGGATACAATAACAAAATATAAACCTAGTTTAGTCTTCCTACAATAGCCACATCAAAGATCTCAGTGCGCAGCCTGTCCAACAATTCAGCATCTTCAGTGAATCTTGATTTTCAAATGTTTACAAACCTTAACACAAATTCCATCTAATATACTTCTCATCTAATTAGGAAGTTATACGGGTTAGGTATAAGTATATTAAAAGTCTTAAGGAATGAATGTATTAGAATATTATTCGCGAAAACCGAACGCGAAGAAAAGAGTCCTGTCCAGAATGTTGGTGTCAAAATAAAATCCCGCTCGAAGAGCAACCAGAGCACAGTCCAGTCTAGAGTTCAGCTGCCAGTTTGATCATAAGCAATTATCTCTATCAAAGAATTAAGATGCGCTCCCTCAATCATACGCATATAACTATTCACGCATAGTGAAACTGATAATGATAACTTTATTTTGAAATTTGCGAAATGTGTACTTTGAAAGGGGCGCACTTTGAAAGGAAGTCTAAAAGAAAAATTTGTTCATTTAACAATACTTACAAATAATTTATAAATAACTATTTTAAGGCCTTTACAACGTCGAGTCGTTACATTTTCTGTTATTGTTCAACAATATATTTTCATACAGCGCTGCTGCATATGTTTCATTAGGTACAGAGTGACATTATGGTGAGCAGTCCGTTTTGAGTTTTTTTTCATTTGAAAGCATTTAGTGATTATATAAGCTTAAAATGAAAAATGTAATGACGCTGGTACATAAATATTATTCTTTCATACTAACTGATAATAAAATGCTAGTAATAATTATTTTTATGTAATATAATATAAATATTTATTTAAAAGAAATCACTTAATTAACAAATAAGTTAACAAATAGGTTAACGGAAAAGTTCTGTCGTATTTTAAATAAAATATTTAAATTTGAACCTGTTCCCAAATAGAAATAGAAATAGAGATAGTGAGTGCCGAACTCACTTTTAATGGGAAAATGGTTAGATGTGGGTTAGTTTTTAACGTGATCCACAAAATGTCATTATCGCTTAGATCGAGGTACTTCTTTAAGAGTGTAATCTCCGCAACGAATCACTTTGTTTTTCGCAACTAACTAATGAAGAGTATTAAAAGTAATCCTCCTACATACCACGGGAGATACGCTTAACGATAAAATCTCATATCACGCATTCGCCGGTTTGTCTTCAAATGCAGGTAAAAATGCCTAGAAGTAGTAAAGTACGATGGAACTTTCCCGTCAATCTATTATTTAGTAACATAATTTAATTAACAATTATTTTATTACAGTATATAATGATTGTAAAGTATCCTTAAATTCCTGTACTTTGTTTATTTGTACCCTATAGTAACCGTGTTACAATTTAATTAAGATAATTTTATGTCATTTTTATGCTACAAAGATTGCACATAGACATATTATATATACTACTTTGATGTAAAAATATGTCGCAAGCATTTGCAGTAATGCAAAAAGTAACAACAGTACAGTGGGACAAAGCTCACCCTTAAGTACTCTACGTCAATTCACTTAAAACAGTTGTTCATATATATATGACGACGTTTTGAAATAAAATGTTATACCGGAAATTTTTGAAAAAATGGTCCAATACGAAACATTTTCAACAGCGTTCGCCTCATCAAAATACTTTGAAAATTGCGATCCATACGTTGAATAGGAAAAAACAAGATATACCGAGGAACAGACAAGCTGAATCACAAAGTCACTCTCAATCCATCGATGTAATACAAGATAAGTCGAACTCAAGTTATCTTAAGTGGTGCATGCACCCGCGTAGACTTAATATATCCTTGTACCACAGGTGATATAGGATATAATAATAAAAAAAAATGATCTTGCGCCTTTCTTTAATAACGCGGCGAATGGTCTATTGTTGACTCACTGAATATTCATGAAAAATTGTATGCGTCCATAATATTGTTCTTATCGATCCTAAAAGTAAACTTGGTTTCTCTTTGCCAGCAACGATCGCTCTATATAATATCAATATTTCAAAAAGTTTATTTAATAAATTTCTTAAGATCTTTTTCTTTCTTCCTCCCTTTTGTTTTCTCTTTCTTTCTTTTTTTGTCAAATAATTAGAAAAGGAAAACGCCGAGTGACACGTATGGTGGTTGTAGTTGTGCTAGCTTTTGCCATCTGTTGGCTGCCAATCCATGTAAGTATGTAAAAATTTCGCAATTCCAACATACATTGCATTTTAATCTTACAAACATACACTCGTAGAAGCTTATCACGGTAAATGATTTGCTTTTGAAAAAAAAAATTAACTGACATGAACGAAATCTTAAAGAAAACTTGAGTACTGCATGCGTATCTCTGTAAACCGTACCAGCACAATAGAAAAGGAAGACCCATCTTTTTTGTTTTGTTTTTACAAAAAATATAATTATTATCATTACTTAATTGATAGTCACACTGTAAACTGAGTTTTCTGCTCGGCTTGCAAAACTTCTGAAACGATACTGAATATAGCTTCGCTCTTGTGATGCGAGTAAATCTAAATTATTGTATAAATTTTTTCACTGAAAGTGTATTAAATTGGTATATGGTACCGGTAGAATGATGTTCTTAGCGAACATTTTTAATCGACCTCATTACAATTTTTAAGTTTAAATTTCTGAAATGTTTAGTTCTTCTTTGTTTCTCTCAAAGCGTTTAGGGTATTGAACTTGAATAACATTTTACAGTTTTCTTTCCCCCGACATTTATAACTACTTCGTATAACACAATAAGTTTACTAAGTGATGCTTCCCGCAGATACGGCATAACCAATGTTGTTTTCAAACAAAGTTTCCCAAAGTATCCGAAGAAATCCGATAGCCTTTATGGGTTGTAGATTGTGTAGGACATTGGCATCTGCGGACGATTCGTTTACGGGAAGACGGTATATCACAAGTCCTAATAAACTTTAAAATTTAATAAAATTTGAATCCTAAACAAAATAATGTCGGGAATGGGGTAAGCAAAATATTAAGACAAGCTAAGCTTAACTAATTTAATCGATGCTTCAAAATATTGGTAGTTACCTAAGCAAATTCGTTGAGCTTGATTTAGAAGAGGGGCAACTTTGTATTTGAAAATCGCCTACAAGGGACGGGTTTGGCAGCGTTATTTAATGGTGGGTTTGATGCGATGTTGAATGAAGAAGCAGCGATTACCATAAGTGAAGCAATTTCAGTCTTTATTTTCAACAAAAACGTTCAATGCCTGGTTACAATAGTCATATTTTGTATTAATTCAGTGATAGCATTAGTAGATGATAGTCATTTAATAAACCCATTTCCATTCGCATGGATTGCGTATTGCAGCCATATATTTGCAGAAAAAATGCTATTAAAATGTAAAGCATATATTCAGGGAGCGAACATGTGATTAACTGTCTAATAAAAAAGATTTAAAGATACAATATACAAGGTATGGTAGAATTTATCTTTTTTTTCGTCAAATATGTAATTTTCACAACAATATATGCAGGCCTTTGTACACAAGGTAAAGAGGTTTGTTAAATACTTTAACGAGACTGACTTTTATAATTCTATAATAGGAAACAAATCATCATAAACGTTGTATTGTTGTTACAAAGTTGATTGATATGGAAATAATATATATACATATAGAGCTCAGAAGAGTACCAAAACATGTATAGCATAAAGGGCATATTGCATTCTTCAGGAATTTCGTTTTTGATAACACAATTTCTTCATCTGCTTTATGGCACGTTATGCGATTGCATCCGAACACAACATCATTGGCAAACTTTCTTAATGTATTTACTATTCCACGGTTAAATTTTGAATCTTCGCCACTTTGCAATGCAAGAAGAACTGAAACAAAATAATAATGTGACTATTGATCTTCGCCAGACGTTAAGTCGATTTACGAAAGTCTCGGATCAGTTTACCGCTCTCATTATCGAGCTTTTAGGGTTTAATGGTATTTGATTAATTTCATATCGAGTTAGGCTTCTCGTTGATTTTACATCGGAATATTCGGATCGGAATGTTATACCATTGCTCTACATATAACAAAATTGGTAATGGAAAGAAGAGAAAGACAAAGCAAATAAAATTCGAACGAAAAATTGTTGAAAAACCGAAAATCTTTTGAACAAAAATATCAAAAAACGCTTGATAAATAAAATATAAACTGAAGCCAGTAAATATGTAATTAAAGGTTGATTTTCAATATAAAAAAAATATTCAAATTTCACGAGGAAAAAGTAGTGAATGCCGTCATACTTGTTAAGTGATCTACGGTACTCCTATACATCCACTTTATGTTGTTTGCAGACATTGTTTCCATTTATCCCATACTCATATGCCCTTTTTCATATATTGTGGCAGCCACCATAAATGCAATAAAAATAAAATTTCGGCGAACACTTTGATGTTTTTGATCTTAAAACCAAACTCTTTTTATATTATAAAATATGTGCTTTTATAATGATCTTTTACTCCATTTTTCTTTTGAACATGCATCTTGGTGGCTATTTTTCGTTTGAGCACAACATTCATACATTATCGAGTACTATCAACAAGAAACGTCGACTTACCCCTGTTTATATTGTTTTTTTAGGCTTAAGTTAAAAAGTATTAACAAAGTTATATTCGGCTTGGGCCGAATCTCGTATACCCACCGCTATTACAATCTTTGACGCCCTATGCTCTTATTTATTGTTATAAAAAATGGATTGAACGGAAAAAAATTTATCTGTTAAGAAAAACTAATCCACCAATTAATTTAAAAGTAACAGACTTGGCTTGTCGGCTTCTCCACCCCAGGTCCTTTTAATTGACAGCTATATTGACGGTATTAAACTGAAAAAATCAATCCAACACGTTGTGAATTCCGCGATATATGATTTGAAACTGACACACATATCTAGTCGAATGCTTCGCTTCAAGTCATTTTATTTGGTAACCATATCGATGGTATTATGAAAAAAAATTAATTCACTAGGTCGTGGTGTCCACCATAATTAACTTAGAAGTCATTTCGTTTTTAGGCAGATAATGTATCTTTATTTGGGGAATATATAAAATAATTTTGCACACTGTTATGATTAGCAAACATGAAAACTCAAAAAAGTGAAAAAAGAAAAATAATTTATTTAATCATTTGTAACTTTGTATGGATATGGTCGATTTTTTCCATTTTTGCAAATAAATGGTAGAGCTTTTCTTAAAAAAAATTTCAGCCTTCTATCTTTCATAATTTTCGAATACTGAACAAAAACCTACCAATTTTTGTTTTGAAAACTGGGATTACGCTTTCCTGCGGGCACGTCCTCATTTCAATTTGGCCCATTTTCAATACCAACTTGCGTGCAAAAATTTCCAATGTTTCTACTCAACTTGAAGTCGATATTTTCATTTTTGCGACCATTGCGACAGTGTCACTAATACTAATACACCGCATAGACACACAGACGGATGAACATTATGAATTAATTATGAATAAATTAATTTGAAATTATGTGCCAACGATTGAATACTAATTAATTTGATTCTCTAGCCCGTAATAATATTTAATAGCAGAAGATTGAGGATATATGCAATGATTGTGATATGTATTCTATTATTCATATGAAAAGTTTGTCTACCTGCATATGCACTATTAACGATGTTGTGTATTTACCCAATTGGAGTTACAAAATGCACGCATTTTCGTGTATTCAGGGACATTTTCACTTACGAAAACAGCAAAACCATAGAGAGGAATAGAGTTTATAACGGCGCGAAGTGTGGATGCAACATCCAAAAATAGATATCATAGAGCGCATTATATATTCCTAAATTGATTTACGCCTACACTACGATTTTACGATTGTAAAAATTGAGTTAGTAAGCGTAAACGTGACCCGCAACTTCACAAAGTACATTTGAAATGAAACCAATTTCCGCTGAAAAATTAAAAACTTAACATTTCAACTCACCTACATATATTTGTTATGTATCATGTACATTAAACGTTACAATAAAAATTTAGCGGAATTCCTGTAAAGTGCAAAACAAAAAAAAAGTGATTGCAATTTATCGACATGCTTATGAATATTGAAAAACGTACCAAGTAGGTGTTATTGTGTTATTTCGATTTTCAACCGAAAAAAAAGTAACACTCAGTCCTCCACTAGATTGCCACCCTGTTTTTGCAGGACAGATTTAAAATTGGTTGTATGTATTCCCAAATTTGCAGGCGGTGGCAAAGATGAGAGGAAGCAATTTGCATTGACAAATTCAACGTAATCGGTTTTTGCGTTGACATTAAGGCTTGAGCATATGTAATTAAAAAATGAAATGACATTCATAAGCTGCAAATATGTGAATGTAAAGTGTACATACCTAGAAAAGCAGTAAGTAGTAGTGAGCTAATCTGCAAAGAGTAAACGAAGAATAGGATGACCGGAAGTGACGTTGCAAAGAAATGGAGAGAAACAAGTCAATCGCTAAGCGGAAGAGCGGAAGTCGGCGAGTAAAACTCTAAACTCGCACAGTTGTCAAACCCTTTTGCTTACCTTCATTATTTTTTTATAATGAATTAAGCGTGAATTCAAATTACTTTGCATTAAACGCTAGTCTAATATCTTTAATTCTAATAATAATAAACAATACAAACGAAACATGAATATTCTCACCTCAAGTTTATAGATCAACACAATCTTCAGATTCCAAAAAATTGTTATTAACTGAAAAGTTTCATTAAATGCCGATTTTATATTAGACATAAGAAATATTTCTTAAGTCGGTCTTAAACTTCTGTATCATAAATAATACCACTGATGCAAATGACTGCTGTACATAAGAAACAGATTTGAGCGAGAACGAATCGAGCTAACTTTCAGCGTGAAAAGTTTATTAGAGTTTATTATAAATGATTACAAGACATAAAAACGTGCAAAGGCAGCTCCAGCTGGCTTTCGCTATAAATCTTACACATTCATTGCCATCCGCCTTATAAATTTAGTTTACAATGTCAATCAAAATCAAAAGAAAATTTCGAAATTTAAAAAATCTTCTTTTATGTAAATATTACTTGTAATATCTAATAATCGTTTCTATATATCCAAGAATAATATAATACACTTTTGCACTTTTTGGATAAGTTATGGCTTCGTCGACCTCGTGGAACTCACATATTGTCATCATAACTCACATTAACATCATGCACCGAATAGCAATCATTTTAAGCAATGCCTAGACATTTCATTTGTTAGTCCGTTAAAATCGTGTTAAGATCTCCAGCTGTTGCCCGAAAATGTGGCCTTAAATCTTGTAAAATGGGATTTTTTCGCATCGTATTGTTCATTTTATTTTGCAACAATTAAAAATCTTCTTGATAATACAAGTCGGCGTTCAGTCCAATGGTGTCCGTTTAGACATGCTCTCCAAAACTTTCCCCATCCATCACATTGTTATTGGTTAGAGTTTAAGGGAAAGAGCTGCACGTAATATTTGAGTACAGGGAATGTTGTATTTGGTCAAAACGGATATGTGATATTGAAGGTTTTAAAAACCTTTTCATTTTATATTGGTTTCAAGGTTTCTAGTATATTTAGTATCCGAAATTTTTAAATATCTAATGCAACAATTAATTATTTCCGGGGTTTACTAAGGAAAAGAGCATTCCCAATTCTTTTTTTTTTTTTTTTTTTTTTGCAAAATTCGAGTTTATTCACCAACACCAATTATCTCCTGCAACTTGACCTGCCGATCGTCGATTTTGGGTGTGCGCCGGGCTCCGGCAATCAGCAAACTAACGAAAAATTGTTGCTGTCGGTGAAGCGAATGCTAGTTTAAAAGATTTTGTTCTCGTCAAAAAATAAGGTTTAATATAACAAATGAAGGATCACTGAACCCACTCTAGTTCGTGCATTTTTCTATAAACAATAAACATTTATTTTTTTTTTTTTTTGCAACCGAGACGTGCATGTGTCAGTCCCAGAATTCATTGACCGATGTGTCACATATTTATTAAAAAATGACAAGACGTTACAAGCGATAAATATGCAAAAGTTCGACTTAAATCAAATATAATTTCTTTCATCTTTTTTTTTTTAGCTTTATAGATTTAAGGCCTTGCTTTTTCAAGAGAAAAGAACACTCTGTGTGCATGTGATGTGTTAGCATGATAGCAAAAATGAAACGACTTGTTATATGCCATGACACTCTGAATGCGTTCTAATGTAATCATTTGTAATCAGATTTCCTTCTCTTCTTGTTTTCCATTTATTTCTCTTTCTGTTGTTGCCTCCCTATCATAAATTTCCTGTTCTTTATCATAACAATTAGATTATATTGGTGCTGAAGGCGTTGAATCTATACGTGAACACACATGTAACTATAATTATGCAAATATTTGCACATGTCCTGGCCTATACAAATTCCTGTATCAATCCAATTTTATACGCTTTCTTGTCTGATAATTTCCGTAAGGCCTTTCGCAAAGTAAGTATTTAAGTCTTTTTCCTTTTTTTTTTTTTTTTTTTAAGTTGTTAAGTTATGTTTGATTAATTCGATAATTACTTTTTCCTTTATTTTTTGTCTATTTATAGGTGGTTTGGTGTGGTAGTCCACCGCCCGTTATTATCAATCAACAAGTTACTAAAACCACACGTACAGCAACCGGAAATGATACCTCGAATATTGATATGCTTTAAAATGGCACCGATGCTAAGAAACGTGTCGAAAATACCCTGATTAGAAACCCATTCGCCTCCTTATGAACGGTCATAGCAATGATGGAATGGAGATCGCAGCAATTTTGATATATATTATATATAGATATTTTTCAACAGATGGGAACAACAACAACAACAACAACAACAACAAAAAACAACTATCATTGTAGAGCTGTTCGATAGTATGAAGTATTTGACCAACATTTGGAAACTTAATGCCCACTCAGTTGCACCTCTATACTTATCACAAAAAGTTACACTTTTGCGAACTATGTGTATGTAATACCAACAAAAAAAAACAAAAACAAAACAAACAAAAAAGACCCAACAACCATGGTTTTCTCTGTATGTACGACCAGGCAAACTACAAGTAATTTTACATTTGTAACAAATTTAGCGACTAAGTTTTTTGTACATCCGAGTATCTCGATTGTTATTAGGTTAAATTGTCCTACATAAAGAGAAAAACATAAAGTTATCTTCTAAAAGCATCGTAATTCAAAATCAGTTTATGTGAGTGTAAAAAAAGGGGCAAGAATACTTTAGGGTGGCTTTTAGATACCTACCCAGATTATACAATAGGAACTTGCTTAATTTTCGTTTATACTATACACGCATTTAAGCGAATCGGCTGAGATATAATATTTTTTATTTAACTCGGATTAATATGCGTAAAATGCGTAAATTTATTTATAGATAAAGATATCAGGTATGAAGATTTATGTATGTTAGTTATATGAGTATTTTTTCTAATATTTTCTCTTTTGTTCTGTTCTTATGGCTGAATTTAGCTCACGTTTACAACGTTGATTTCTAAGCAGGGTTGATTTCCAATCACCTGAGACTATATATTATATGCCATATACTGCAAGGGTTTCCCTTTTAATGGACAGCTATATGAGCAAAGAGGGCGACGAATCGAGCGAAAATTTCAATCATTTAGGTTTTCTAATTTCCTAAATGCATGTACAAAATAATTTAGTTGGTTCTTCTTTGTTAGTGGATATAAAATCATTGTTATTTCAAACTAACTGATATATATGTACACAGGGCTCATTAGTTTTAATTCAGCTAAACCAAAATCATTATATAGGGCCTAATTAAAAACACTTTTATATTTGTGTAAGTTATGTCCATTATTACTTAGTCTAATAACACATGTACTCTTAAGTGGTATTATAGCCATTATCTAATTTTTGTGCGAATTTGTATCAATGTTAACTAACTCTCCGAATATGTGTAAAATTTTATGTCAAAGAATCATTAAAACTTAAAACAAAAAGAGTAAAGACAATTTAATTAAGTTTTTATTTTATTTATCTGTTTTGTTATTCGAAGCATCAATTGTCAATTTGCCAATGAAGAACTCTCGTATTAATCTAAAATAGATGGACTGCGCAATAAGCCCAAAGACTTCACAGCATTTATGTGATTAATTACATGAATTCGGTCAATTGGGTTGAGAACGAGCAACATTTATCCGACGTCTTCAAATGTAAAGATCCGAAATCGAAGTTCGTTACGAATAGTACGTAAATACCCGATGAGGGGGCATGAAGGTGTGTGTGACCATGAATGTAAAACTTTTCGGCCATTGAATATTGCGCTGACATTCCTTTGTACGAAAAAGTTGAATCTGATAGTCAAACTTGTTCTATTGATCTATTAATATGCTTCCAGCCTTAGCCCGTACAGCAGACATTTGTGGTTGTCAAGCAAATACAAGCTCTTTCTGTTTCATAGTATCCTTTCTTTTCATCCACTTTTATTCATTTGTTTATGTAAAATTTAACGTTTTTCCTTTTCTCTATTTTAATTGAGTTTAAAGTACTTATAGCATAAAACTTGTATTTTAAGTGGTGGATTAATTTATCCTCGGCTGATAGCAACTGTTGGGGACTCTTATAAAATAAGTAAGTATATAAGTTCCCACAACCACTACGGTTCGGTACGGTACGGAGAAGAACTCTTATAGGAGGTGAGCGATATTATCTCTTAGTTCTTCGATGCATTTTTTGACCTTGACGCCACCGAAGGAAAAGCAGAGCATGTTAACAACTTGAACGCTGTTGAATAGTTTTTTTCTGCTTACAATCAATAAGAGACTTACAGTTGTGGGTTAGGCACCTAACGACGGAACGAAAATATCGAAGGCCTTTCGTCAACTATCTCTCGCATTTGTTGCACAAATAATGTACATCTAGTATTGAAATTTTTTTGGGTTTTGCAATCATTGCCACATCGCTAGCCGTTTAAAATTGAAAATACATATTTTTCACGCATGTATCGGCCAGAAGTCCATATTTTTATATTGTAATGCTCTATTACGTTATCCAAAAAGAAAAGAACAAAAAAAATGCGATCTCCAAAATGTACAGCTGCATAGCAGTGCTTACAAGCGGACAGACAAAAAATTTTTGTACATTCTTCTTTGGGAGATGATTGTTCGAATTCTTGATTGTTGATGTGTTAGTTGTCAGTTTTTGTTCTAACTTGTTAAAGGTCCTAACGTATATCATCATCGTAACCCGCAGTTAAAAATTTAAAAATCCTTATCAGTCTTAAAACTAGGAATAAGGATGACAGTTTCCAAAAATTGCAATAATTTACATTTGTCCTTTTTTGGTAGGCAAATTGTTCCTTATACTTAAATATTAATGGACTGATCATATAGATCTACTTAAATACTATTACTTATTATTAATTTGCGTTAAAGCAGAGGTTCGCCGTTTATAAATAATTGCATTGGTATACCTGGATGGAGTAGATACATGGGTAGGGGTGTAGGATATTTCTTTAATCGTCATTTATGGAGAAATTTTACAAGTGCTTTTTCCCAATTTTTGGAGCTCGATTATCCTAATCGCATAAATCTTAATTCTGTCGGCACCGCTTGTTCATGCAGTAATTTTCTATAGAAGTTGTTAATATCATTTTGTTTTGGCATTTGTTGTATTCATAGACCCGTAATGCATTGACCGGTCGCTCTTTCCATTAATCTTAATCTTTCGAGATGAAGCTTGGACACTTTTAAAGATACTCACTCCTCTTCGTTTATAAAAATGCTTCTCTGTCATTTGAATACTTTACTTCCCGAACCCATAAACCCTACTTTCTGAATTTTGTTTTTAAATTTTAATGTTAAAGCACTAACTGCATATACTCAAAATGAATATATATTTTTTTTGCATTGAGTAACAAATTGTTTGTTTCAGAAGCCAATTGAAACTTGATATGAAATCGTAATGAAAAGTTAATTGAAAAAACTTTTAGCAAAGCAATTAAAATTTAAATACATATGAAAATCGTTTCCTCTCGCTACTAAACAGTTGAGAGATTCATTTGTTAGCATTTATCGCGTTTCCAATTTTTTCAAAACTCCGACACAGTCTTATAAAAGAGTCATGCAAAATTTTATTTGCTAATTTTACTTCAGTCTTCGATGAAAGTATTACGATATCATCCGTTATTATTAGTAAAACTTCATCCGAATGTTCGATTTGTCTCATTATTGAAAAGAAGTCACCCGCTCTAGCCAGCCTTTTAAATGATCTTGTATCGAAAATTTTCCCAAAATCCCAAAGGAGCATTACAGTGGCAAATATATTTTGAAGTTCTTTGGCTATATAATTTTTTGAAGATCATGAAGCGATAGCTTGCCTTGAGAGCTGTACCTCGTAGGCAGTCTTTTGCTTTTTTCAAAAAGCAACCCTCGAAAATTTTGCCCAGGTTAGCACGGTACAATTTAGCCTATAGCTTTTACTGCACATACTGGATCATAAACCTGATTTATGGTTGCGTTCCCCATACTCTAAAAGAGTTTCTAATGTTATAAAAATAATTAAAGACTCAGCTCAGAATTTGACGGGTGCTGTTCCTCATTATGTTGAGAAGACAATTACAAATTCTATCTTTACCATGCCATTTTTCATTATACGTTCATTTTAGAACCGCGTGAAAGTCAATTTTTGTGACTAGTAGGAAAGGCACATCAACGTTTTCAATAATGGAATCATCGGCTATAAGAAGACTTCTGGTCAAAATGCATTAAACAACGCTTTGACAACTTGATGTGTCGATCGAATTGGTTGAAAGATATTAGTTAGGTAATTTTCTCTCCGTCTAATATGATATTGTAACGCAAACCGTTTTTTGTGAATTTACTTATAATCTAGTTCGTACCACTGAATTGTGACTTTTGGGATAGTCTGAGTTTTATGTGCAATACTTATGAAATCTATTCGAAAATTATTTTCACTTCTTGACTTAATATTTGACTGACTTTGCCATGAGCAAATATTCTGCTTATATACCCTTTTACGAGCAAGTTGCGATTTGCATACCACTTGTTGTTAATCTTTTCGCCCCAATGTGTACTTGCTTTTCCCTTTCTTTAGAATTCTTTTTTTTTTTTTGGAAAATTGATTAATTTTCATGAAAACTCAAATCATGAACTGTAACATTTTCGTAACAATATTGTTCCAACATTGTCATTTTTCCAAGCAGATGACTGAACAGTTTTGCACAGTCCACTGATATATGTGACTCTCCTAAAAGTGTTCTTATTAAGCCCGCTGTTCTAAGTTATGTTGAAATGTTGATTTTATTTGAAAATTCTTAATGAATTCTTTAACATTTTATTATTGTTATGGATAGTAGCTTTAATGCTTACGTTGCGTGATTGGGCAACTGCCAGAAACATTTCTCTCCAAAATGTCATATTTTACCTTACTTTGTTGCTTGCTTTGTAAATTATTTTTGCTTTTCTACGATTACATGCATTTAGCTATTCAGTCAAGACTTAACGCGAAGTAATCTAGAACGTGAATCTCTAAACCCTCTTGAAAGAATTAGAAGGTCATCAGTTTTAAGGTATATCCACAACACCCCCCGATCCGTATTAAAATTTAAGATGTCCAAAATACGATCAATCATAAAAAAAGTCAATACAAGAGTTAGTTGTAGAGGTAATGCTGCTAAACTAACAAATAGTTTAACGTCAACGAACGGACACCAAGCAGTCAGCTATACAAAACACTGCCATTGGATGCTTGAAGTCTAAATTTCACTTAGTAGATCGTTCGCTAAAACAACAAAGCTACGTAGAACCTTGCATCTGTTTACCGCTGCCTGCGGGAGTATTACTATTGTAATATATGTATATACATATATATGAATATAATGGTGGAAGATACGGCAGCAAGATCGCGTTGCACTAACCTAAAGATTTAAAATAGACGATCCTTATTTTTGCTGACATGCTCGGCTTCCGAACGCCAGGACTATTGTGATTTGTTAGCAGAGGTAGATCTTCTAACAAACTGAATGCGGTTTTAATCGTATGGAATGACTATCTCAAGGTTAGTTTTGAGAATAATAATATTATTGGAAATAATTTCGTCTTATATACAATTTTTCTTACATGTAAATTTGGTCTTAAGCTAATTAGTGTTAAAACAGTAAATTATTTTTAGACGTTCTCTCCTTGAAATGTAATAGATAGATCCTTGATAACTTTGGAAAATGGTCTCTGCCCTTTAACTATATATACCAAGCATGAGATTTTGTCAGCTTATAAATATATTATCTGAGTTTGTGTACCAGCAAATAAGTTAGCGACAAGTCCAACTAAAGTGAAACCTAGAACAGTTGTTGCATAGCGAAATACCTAAATAAGGTAAAATAGGACTCAAAAAAATAAAATCTAAGAATCAGAAGAGAGGACGTTAAAGCATCAAGTCCTAATTTTAATGACGATTACTTAAATAAAGCGGCGAATAAGCCTTGAAGAATTCATGAACCAAACGACAACTTATTAATAAAAGTACAAGGTTTGTACACAATTTTTAGCCGAAAGATATGCTTATGAATATAATCACAGTAGACAAAATTTATTATTTATGAAGCGAATTGTTCTGTGTCCATTGAGAGAATTAAGAGCCGGCATTGTGACATGGTAGCCACAATAGTCATATATAAACTATGTAACTTGTTTTTTAATGATTAGTAGCAAAACACTGAAATCATAGTTTGTTTACTATCAGTGGGGTAGCATAGTCTTTAATAGGTTTATATTACAATTTCTGGTTTCTTTTCACAAATTTGCTTAGGGGTTTTCAGAATTTGCTTCTGAGATTTAAAGTATTCACCGTAGACGGGGATGGTTGTAATTTCTTGTTATCATATATGCTTTTCCCACTCTATCAGTTGAACCATTTCATCGTCAAATCCACCACTCCAGATATGTCCCTTGGTCGGTGTATATTATTGACACTCATCTGGTCGCAAAACTGAAGATATCGACTTCAAGTTGGGTAGAAACATTGGAAATTTTTGCACTCAGGTTGGTATTGAAAATGGGCCAAAGTTTTCTGAGGGCGTGACCGTTTTTCTAAATAAAAATTGGTAAGTTTTTGCTCAGTACTCACAAAGTATGAAAGATAGAAAGAAGATTGAAATTTTCTACATTTACGTTACGAAACAAGTTACAGATGAATGCATTTTCTCTCTTTTTCACGTTTTTGAGTTTTCATGCTCATTAATCATAAGATAAACAAGCAGAACATGTAAAATTACTTTGTACATTCCTCAAATGAAGATATATTACCTGCCCAAAAATGCATTAATTCTAAATTATGGCGGACACCACGACCTAGTGAAACAAATTTTTTTTTAACAATACTATCGGTATGGGTACCAAATAAAAAGACTTGTGAACTAGCATGCGGCAAGCTAAGTGCGTTAAGTCTAAATTAATTACTGTATGGTAGTTATGCGGAATTTGGTTTCTGCCGAATACAACTTTGTTACTTGTTGTTCTTTAAGATTAAAAATATTAAATTCTTTTCTTTTTATTTTTACTAAAAAACGAAGTATGCACCACACAGCAATTACTCAAAGCATTCACTTATCTACTCTACATTAAACACGCTCTGTACATGAAGTTCATAATCTCAACCACAAACACCATCACTGCAACCTTAGCAAATGTTTTAACAAGCAAGTTTTTCAAATGTGGATCGTCAGAACAATTCATGGATGCTTTCAAATTTATACTATTCTACATTTCATGCACTTTATAGATACCTTGCGTTGTGGATGTAAAAACCCGTATCCGATATTGTATATTTCACCTCAGGAAAATTATGAAAATTCCGCGCGCTGGAAACATAAAATATTAAACATATAGTTTTCAAATGAATATACACATGCTTACTTGTTAAATATATTACATACAAATAACATACAAATTCTTATTAAAAGCTTTTCCGCAGTCACGTCAATTTTTCTTTCCTTACTGTTACACTACTCGAACGTCGATTTATACTTATGTACAGGGAAAAGTATTTATAGTTTGATTTTTATATATTAAAATTGGAGGAATTGAAATGACTGCTTATTCTATTTGTTTGCCTACTTTTATGTATGGGTTATTGATTTACAAAAATGAAAAGTATCAATAGGAGATTCGACAGCAATCAGTAGTCAGCTCCTTCGCCAAGTGAAGCATTATATAAATGTTCTCTGTTTACGTAGATTTGCAATTTGTCCAGCATGGGCGTCATCATTTTGCCACCATGACAGCAATAATGAGAAGTATAGCTTTTTAACGCGGTGGTTATAAGTTGCGACACTAACATGTTTCTATCCCATAACAAATAAGAGATTTATGATCCAATATAAGAAGCGAATCTTAGACACCCCTCGCTTAATAAAGAGTTTCTTCTGCCTAGCGGCAACACTCTGAAATGTGTCATTATAGACTCCATTGCGTACTCATATGCATGATTAGAGTAAGAGTCGATTTAGCCACGTCCGTCTCCTGATCTATTTTATTTTTGAGATTGTCACGGTCCCAACATTTGAGTTCAAACACGAAAATTTAACAGATGTGTTTCTAGTTAATGGTAAGATATTAAATTTGAAAATGATCGCCCTTTGCTAAAAATATACAAGGAACTGGCTACCTTAAATGCAAAGCAGGATCTAAAAGTTTACTACAATAGACAATATGAAATTTGTCCATATTCGCTTGAAATGAAGATGAAAATGGAGATGAAGATGCAAAAACCAAAAAGATTGGTATATATATATATTTTTTTTTGCTTCTCATTGCGAGTCGAATGGAGCGAATTCATTTTTATTGATTGTAAGTCAATTTTACCTCGATATAAATCTGAGATGAATATTTTCTACAAATTAAAAATTTATGATTAGAATACAATAAAATCTTCCATCATTGCATTCATTTTCAAGTGTGGTTTCCGGCTAATTTTCGGTTACGATCTAGTGTATAACCAAGTATTTGTTCTCAAATCGAATTCGAAATATATATGAATGGACAGAGGGACAAAGCTAATATAACAAAAAATTGGACGTCAACCAAGAAATTACAGGCAGGTGCATATTTCAGTGTGTTTCATATGAAACAACCAAGTTAGCATACCGCTGGCATTGTAGTATTAAATTAGTATAAAAATGCCTTCATTAGATCATGTAAGTATAACGTGTGTAGATTCAGCAAAGCAAGTCGTAATTTAGAAAATTTTATTTCATCATATTGACACAATGTCAACACCTATCAAGGAATTTATGGGTTTTCAGCTTCAATCGTTGAACATCGAAAACGCTCTGTTGTGACTATGCTTGCACCAGTTTCCATTTATCCTTTGAGAAGTTCGGAACTTCTTAACTCCGGACAAAATAGTACAAATCTAGGGGTTTCTTGAACTCTACTTACACTCGAAATGTGCATTTTCTATAAACAATACTTTTGTGCATTTCTATTTATGATTCTGGGTCTTATCACAACAAAAGCTCTAGTAAAGTCTATACACACCGAAGAAGGTTTGGAGCTCTTATTTAAGCAACGGTATTAAATAACAAAAGCTATTATATTTAGTAACTCAATAATAATTTAGAACATCCAAAAAAAAAAAAAAATTTAGCTCTCAGCCAGATTGGGAAAATGTTTGGCATCATGAAACCCATTCGCGGTGTCGCGACAAGTTGGTGCGACAATTATATTGGGCTTGTGAAAAGGATATTTACCGTCTAACCCGCCGCAACCACAAACGCACAGATGAATCTGTACAAAAACGCAATAAATGTAAAGGTGTTTTGTTTTTTATTAACTGCTTTCATGTATTTTGATCATTTTTTTCACTTAAAAAAGGAATTCATTGAGGAAAATCGGTACAATATATATTAATCAAAATATTTCGAATTATTTTCTACAACTTTTGTCCATCTTTATGGCAACATGGCGATACTGTGTCGAAGAAGCATATTAGTTTGGCAGCGATCCAGTCATCGATACATTTTCACACTTCTTCACCATTTCGAAGCCCCGTGTTTGCCAAGCCATGCTGCGTCGTTCTAAACAAATGGTAATCAGGGGGAGCCATGTTTGGTGAGCACACTGGATGTGGCAGAAGTGCCCATTCGAGTTGCATCAGTGTATCCTTGGCAATAATTGCAAGAACTGGCCAAAATGTCATTTTCAATCAATTCGTTTGGTAGCCATTTTTCCTCCTTTTGGATCTTTCCTATCGCATATAAACGTCTAGAAACAATTGATTCATCAATTGCTAAACTGTACGAAACTTTCTTGACAGTTTGAGTTGGATTTTCGTCCAATAAGTCTTGCAGTTCATTTCCTCCCAAATTGTTCTTCGCCATTGACATCAAAATCACTACATTTAAACCGTTGAAACAAAACAAACAATTGGGACGTGATAAAGGAGCATTTTCAAAGGCTTCTAAATGTATTTGATGCGGTTCGGCAGCAGATTTTTCGAAATCAAAAAACAAATGTAATAAATGTCGGAAATGCAATTTTGAGCGTTCCACGATTGGTGTCTGAATAACTGAATAACTCAATAATACTAAATGTAAAACTATTATTTTATGTAGAAAAACATCAAGATCATCGACTTTAACTATTCTGAACATTGATACTTTGAATTAGTTTATTATTTTTACCAATAGATGTCGCTGATCAAAATACATGCAAGCACCTAAAGTTATCAATATATTTCAAAATACACTATTAAACGTATCTTTTCCCGCGTATAGATCCTACTTTTCATCGCATTTGGCTTGATCCTCGAGAGGTTAATGTTTTCTTAAGGACACGTCGTTCGAATATTCCTTCAATTACGAATGAATGCTGCACTAAAGTGGGTTGTACTTGGGAAGAGTATGCCGAATATTGTCCTTCCAATAAACGTCGCAATCATTATTGAATGAAATTATATACTGTGTGAAAATGGAAGGCGTGGGATTGCTTTTACGTATGTTTACGGAATATCATGGTGTTTTTATGCCGTACAAGAAAGAAGATGTGTAATGTCATTTAAAAAAATTAGATATTATTTTACGCCAAAAACAATAAAGTTAATTAAAATGATAATAAAGTCTACCGGAAAGTCCCGTCCTGTTTCTATGAAAACAATTTTCGACACGTAAGCACATGTGTATTTGGCTCTCTAGTTTCATCGCTTATTGTATACACACTGATGTAAGAAATTCACTAAAACAAAGTTGATTCACGTTAGTCTTAAGTGTGAAGCGATAGTGTACCTATGTCTACTGATAAAGTTCATTTACACTACTGTATTTTATATGAACTTCAACAACGAAGAAATGCTGAGGAAGCATGTAGAAATTTATGGAAAATGTTTGTGTGGTACAGTTTCTAATAGGACATGCAGTAGATGGTCTGGAACATTTGAAACAGGTGATTTTGATATTTCTGATAGGCCACATACTGGGCCTTAAGCAATATCTCTTTCTGAAAGCATCGGAGATCGCAGAAAAGCTTAATTTAGGTCAGCAGACTATTTCGGGCCATATTCGGAACATAGGATTGATGACTTGTACTTCATTTTATTTCAAAAACGGAGAGAGCTTTCCGCTAGACCTTATACTTAAGCGTTTAATCCATTATTCCAAAAGGAAAGAATAAAAAAAACGGAGAAGAAAAATTTAATTAAAAGAAAAGAGGAATAAAAAAGTAAAGCTGAAGGAAGAAGCAAAATAAGAATGAAATTAGAGATAAGTTAAAGAAAAAAAGAGGAGAATAGAAATTTTTGTGGGCTTTTGCCCGTTTCCCGGTGCTGGACTATGCTCAGCGGCACCAGGCTCTGACTCACCAGAATTTTACGTTTTCTTTGAATGTTCAGAGAATAGTTTTACATTTCAGAAGCTTTCACTTTGTTCATTCACTCTCTTTGTAATAGACACTGTAGTGTATAAAAAAAATAAATAAATAAATAAATAGAAAAATAAAAAAAAAAAAAGAGGAAAGAGGGTTTTGTTTTGTCAAGGAAAAATGGGAAGAATTGTTTTTTTTTTTTCTTTTGAGAAAGAACGAAAAAAACAGTTTATTTTTGGGATCGGAATTTGAGATTTTTTTGGTGAAAAATTTGGAAATCCCTTTGAACAAGATTTCAACGAAGAAAATAATGGAAACTGTGGAATGTAAGAACGTACACTACAGAGTGCAGGAGTCAACGATCACTAGGTTGCGACCATAAAAAGTGAAAGAAGCCTGTGCGGATAATTATCGCAAATACATGTTTCAAAAGTAGGAAAAAATAGGAAAAATGACAGAAACCTTTTTCTGCAAAAGAAAAGGAAATGAATAAAAAACTTCAAAAAGGTGTAAATTGATTAAGCTAAATCGTTGGTCGGCTGCGGATGTTGTACGGGAGACATTTAAATATAAAAAAATTAGCGAATACATTGAAGATAAAGAAAAGTCAGCGAATAATGTTAAGAAAGGAAACAATAAGAAGTGTTCTAATTTAAAAAAAAAAAAACGACAAACAAATTCTTCGTACATTATTGAGAAAAGTGACACAAGAGACGAAAACTCATAGCCAAAAAATTAGCAAGCTAACGTGAAAGAAAGTGAAAAACACGAAAAAATCAATAATTCGTGTAAAAGAACATTCCTCTTCACACCGTTTTACTTAACTTGGGTTTGCGCGTGGCGTCCCTGAACGTCCCTGAGACGTCGAATCAATAATTGACATTTTTTGTGTTATTTTTTTCTTAATAATAATCAAACAATTTAAAATTTATATTTTGTTAAATATTCTTTTACCTGCGGCGATGCGCATCGACGTAGTTGTTAGATTTGGTAGATTTCTTATAAATTGTTAAATTAAAATAAACTAAACTTTTTCTTTTATTTTAAATAATTCTGTTATCCATTGTTAAATATAAATAATTTCTGATATCCTATAAAAAAAAAGAAACAACATAGCTGACCTTGAAATGAGTATCTTAAATTATAAATTAGATTAATTATATCTATCTATAAATTCTGTTTGTTATAATTCTTTCTATTTCTTTCTTTGAAAAATAAAAATGTATTATTATTAAAAATATAAAAATACTGGTAAGACTTCCTGGTGATGACTGTGGGGCGAGGGAGGAGTGGTATGCATAGGGCTTAGAGTTGTATTTATCCGGAACAAATTTTAAAATTAATAGTAAGCATGTTATTTTTAAAATAATGAAATATTTGTAGCGAAACTAAAATTTATTATGAGTCAACTTACATTTCATTTTTACCCAACCCATCCGACAAGCCGGGCCGGAAAACATGCGTTAGTTTCATGGTATTAATTAGAATATAATTACATCTGTGCGAAGGGTAGATCTCTAAAACGTTACATCTTACTTCGCTTACGATTCATCAATAAATGTTAAATGCTTTTACAATACGAAAACATTCCAAGAAATGTACATTGATTCAAGCTACAAGCTTATTACATTCCATATCAATGCGTACTCGTTTTGGTCATTTTACAGCGTTGACCATATAATTATAAATTTACATTGAGGTTTTACAAGACGCATCCTGAAAATTTAATCAGCCCACACATTCTTAGTGCAAATCGTTTTCAATTTGACCCACGTCTGAGAACAAATAGCAGAATCGGCATTGGAGATCATAAGGAATGGAAACATATAAGTAGTTCACGAAATAATTAATCCAGGCTTTGACGACAATACTGATAAAACAATCGACATTTCAAGAGATACCAATGTAAATGAATTAAACTCAATCCCAATCCCCCTCGTAGTCAAGAGTCTCAGAGAATTTTCAGGCAAGCCAGAAGAATTTAACTCGTGGGAAAAAAGCTTCAATAGGATATTAGAAATTTATGATCATCTGAAAGATAGCCCAAAATATTATGGCATATTGACGGTAAGCAGAAGCAAAATTGCAAGATAAACGGGCATAACTCTCCAGCAATACACCATTAAATTAGAATAAGATATCAAAATGTCCAACGGTGTACTATGCTGACGAAAGGAATCTAGGAACACTGGAGTACCAGATGACAACGCTTATCCAAAAGAACAAAAACCTTCAGGAGTTCTACCAATACGTATTCCAAAATTTCTTAATCATATCGGGGAAAAGCATGGTACACTTTTATAAGAACTCCATTATTTCGTTCTCTCAGTATGAAGTAACCAACGCATTTGTCACTAGCATTACATCTTTGCCTAAAACTTCAAAATCTTAATAACTCTTAGCAGTACGCTAGCATTACGATACCAGGCAACACCTCCAGCATTTGAAAGACAATTTCAGCAAGGAATAAACCATAATACGAACCAACATTTCAACGAAACCCTCAATATCGGCAATTTCAATATCAGCCATTTATGGCGCCAAAACTCCAGCAGCGCAGCGAACCAAAAGAGATAGACACGAGTATCCAGATGAAACAAGTTAATTATGCAAACCATCCGAATGAATAGCAAACATATGCACAAAACCGTGCACAATTTGAAAGAATACTTCCCAAACAACAGGAATCTTTCAACATAACGTTTGAAAAGAAGAAAATGGAAAAACATAATGAAAGAGTATATGGGATTGAGGGAAATCCCGAGTAAGACCAAATAAAACATCTTGATGATATGCATTTTTTAAGCTAATGCAGGTCTCCACGGCGATGAAGATAAGCTAATATTTTTAGTAAACACAGAATCGAACAAACATTATGTTAATCCCAAAGACCTAGGGCAACCCATTACACACCAAAAATCTTATTTGGAGAATTCCAAATGGTTTACCACACCAAAAGCTCAGAAGGACTCACGAAATAGCAAGATGCTATCGAAAGCCCATCAAGAACTTAGCTAAGATTGCCAAGACCCTGCCAAGCATTTCGAGAGGAGGAAAATGGACGCATGTCCAAACAAGCCACTAAAGACAAATTGATAAGATTAAAGAAAGAAAAAAGAGAGAGAGATGAGAAAAAGAAATATATTTTGAATTCGAATGAAGTCGCCTCCAATTCCGCTTGCAGAGCAGTTTTACCTCAAGATAGAAGACCAATAACCTTTTTATCTTGCACTCTGCAAAAAACACAAGAATCTCATACTACAAACCGGAAAGAAATGCCATGTATAATATGGTCACTAAAAGCATTGCGTAACTATGCTTACAGAGATCAAGAAAAATAAACATCTACACGGACCACCGTCCGCCACATATGCCATAAGCATTTAATTAAAAAGATGGAAAGCAGTTCTCAAAGAATACAACTATCAATGGGAATACAAACCCGATATTGAAAGCATAATAGCTAATTGTCCATCCAGACTACCATCAAATGAGGAAAACAATTTTTTAACCGATACGGTTCTAAGTGGAGAAATCTCAGAACGAGAATCCAATCCCATCAGTATAAACTCCTGAAAACGTGTTGCGCAATCAGTTAATCATAAAAGAGGTCGGACAGGAGCAGAACGACATTTGATTTTGAATGCCATAGATAAATTCACCCAATTCGCGATTAAGAAATCAATAATCTCATGCGGCCTTGAAAACCTTACGAAACCTTTACAAGAAATCTCACTTCACTTTCACATGTCCATAGTAATAATAAACGATAACGAAACGGCATTCCCGTCTGATTTAATTATGTCTATGCTTGAAGGTGATCTTAAGATCGAAGTCGACCGCATACCGCCATCTAGTCGCAAGATAAATGGGCAAGTTGCACGATTTCATTCCATTTCTCTTGTTTTGCGAATTCCCTTTCTCTTGTACTTCTAAATATGGACAAGAAAGAACCTTTGAGCAGAAATGAGCAGTAAACAAGTATAATTTCATTACTCATTCTTTTATATAGAAAAAACCAAAGAACTCCTACACAAATGTACGCACAACATCGATTCTAAAGAATTAGAAGAACTGAGACTACAGGATGTTGAGCAACAGCAAGAAAAACAGAGACACGTATTAAAATACCATAACAGGATAAAAACTAAAATGAAGTATAACTTACCAAAGAACAAAATTTACGTAAA